GCAGGCACATACCTGGCTGAGGGTACGGCTAGGATATCACGCTCCAGATACCAAATACACAGATTTATCTCAAACCACAAAGCTGAATTTCAGAAAGCTCAAACAACCCTAAAGCCTTCCAAGTTAGATATACTGTATTTCAAGTAGCATACCTCGTGATATATCTTCTCTACAAGGCTTCAATTGCTCAGATTTAGATCTGCAGAGTGTCAGTGAGGGAAGCAGAACGCTGGCATTTCTCGTCACTGTACCTGGTTACAGTTCCTCCAGACAGGGAGGCTCCCAGCAGTTCCCTACCCCAATAGGTACATCAGCAAGTCTATAAAGCATTCTGCAGTCCATCAGGATGGAAACAATTCCATAACAAGAAGCTAAAGATGATCTGAGCTACCTGCAATACAGTCCATGGCTCCCTGTGTCTCCTGGAGCTGATTAGCTTTGGCAGAAATATTCAGGTCGGGGAAACAACAGCTCACAGCAGGCCAGGCTCCTTCAGGATCCAAATGCTTGAGTGAAGCTGTTCCATCAGGAAGGGACACTGCGTGACTATTCAGCTGCATCTTCTCAGCTATGGCAATGTAGGTCACTGCTCACAAATCAGAGGTAAACTTCAGGCAGAGTCGCAATGCTCTGCTGTGTGTTGAATGGGAAATGGGCTTCCATAGAGATCAGTCAAAAGTAGGAGCAGTAAATTGACTACACTTTTTTATTAGAGTCAAGGATAAAGGAGAATGTGGTAGACTCAAGGTTATGTTAGACATCTACGTCTGCTGGAATCTAGTTCGTGTTTTGCCAGGGCTTGTTTGCATAGCAGAGTGACTCACAGCAAATGAGGGTGAATTTTCCCTGTGCTTCCATTACAAACCAAGTATGTTCACATACAGAGAAGTTGCTATACAATAAACTCACTCACCAGTTTATTGCATTGTAATTTCCTTATGCAGACAAGCCCTAAAGCCTTGATAGAAATAGGTTTACCTTTGCCTGTTATGAATAGCAGACTCGTGAGAAGCTGGATGTAGAACAGAGAGAAAAGGCGCAGAATTATGAATGGCTCCTAGCTCAGTGTATGCACTTCCTACTGACAAGGGAATACGTGTGTCTGGTATGCAGCTCTTTGTAACTTGGTTTGGCCAGCAGCTAGAGCACAAAAATGTCACCTTGGTCCCTCTGTGAAAGAGGAGCTCCTAGAGGCATTAAGAGAATGCTTGGAAGAACAGGGATGCAGCAGGCATTTGTTTGCACACAACTGTAAGCAGCAGCACTGTTCACAATCTTGAATCATGTCAATATGTGGTCACCAAAGGCCACATTTTTCAGGTGGCAGCTGGTCAGAGACTCCCTCGCATAACTGCCAGTTACATAACAGATTAACCACCCAAAATGCTATGGAAACTCAGATTCACCCACTGGTGTGAACAGGACGTAGAGGAAGCAAAGAAGGTCACAGAGATCCTAACAGAACTTGCACGTGAGTGCACATCTGCAGGGCAGGACAGCAATTCAGCAGCAGGACCTACGCTTCCAAAAAAATGATTTCTCTTTTCTATCGGGGTCCAAAAAAAAAGAAATTGCACAGATTTCCACTACCCACTCTCCTTTTCCTTCCACACCCTCCTCTCATTGGCATGAGATAAAACCTCGGGGAAACAGCAGCAGCAATTTTCAATTCTCATTATCTAACGGCAGCAGTAGCTCTCGGTGAAACTTGTGGTCAATAAACTACAGGCAATTTTAAAAGACACAATGGGAACTGCCCCTCCCGCAGCTGTCCCATTATCCCAGCTTTTATTTGATTTAAAACCAGCAATTCTTATGCTTGCCGAAGTTCTGCAGAGCCACAGAAACAGACCACCAGAAAAGATAAAACACTCCTAAATTGAACAGGAGGCATTACAGCAACATGCCCTGATGTCAGAAGGCTTAGACATAAGCAAAGTTCAGGTAGCAGGAAGCAAGCCAGAACCCATGAGAACACAAACAAAACTTAACATTCAGAACAAATAAACAGCAAAGCTAGTAAGCATGCTAGATAGGGAATGCTGTGAGCAGATGAGCAACTAGAAGAGGATCACTCCAATAACATCCAACTAGAGGCACCAAAAGTTGGAGTTGATGGCTTTGGTGTGCCTAAGCAGTAGAATAGTCACTCATAGGTGGCAATTCCACTGACCTCCTTTAGAGCACTGTTCTAGGGTGTGATGCACCATGCTCTTGTACTGCCTATTTCTGTCCCCTGACGAGCAGAAAACGTACAAAAGTAGCAACAGCAATTACACCTCTATCATGCAGTACAGCAACCTGCTCCAGCAGGAGGGCCTATACAGGAAAGGAGAGCAAAAAATAAAATTTCCAAATTTCAGAAATTATTACGTGATACATTTCTGTGGGGCAGAGGTAATTGAGATTGTATCTCACCTCCTGGATGAGAAATGTGCACAGCAAAAGGCAAAGGGAAATGGGTGCCCAAAGGAATGGTCTCAAAGCAACACGGTAAGGGGGAAGATGCAAGGAATTACAGTCATCCACTACAAGTTGTAATTTTAGCCTAGAAATCTAGAGCTTGCTTTCTGAGCCTAATGTATCCATGCCTTGGAGACATTTTACCAGCCATCAAGAAGAACTTGTAGAGAACCAGATGCTTCATTAAAGAATATTCACCAAGCCTTATAAAATCTTTAGTGTAAAGCAGAAGAACAAATCACCAGCGTACCAGCGAGCTGAAGTCCCACATCCAGCTTTGAATATAACATCTTTCTACAATAGCAAACAAATTCTGTTTAAAAGAAAAAAATAACCAAGAAATCAAGGGATTGTGACCCCTCTTTCCCACATTCCTCCAACCCAAATGAGGAATGCGTGAGACGAAAAACCATTTGGTAGATGCTGCTGCTAATTTAAACTTAAAGAAAAATAACAGCTTAAATAGCAAAGGGAGGAGGGAGTTTTACAGTCCAGGAAAAAGCACAACAGCTTGTGATTGCTACATATATATCTCAGGAGCCAGAGGAAGCAGTAAGAGCATCAAGGCAAATTGTCAGGGCTTGAGCTGTCCTCGGATAAGAGAAAATACAGGATGTTGTGCCTTGCACACATCTGATTTGGGTTTGCACTTGCAGAACCCTCTCGTGCCTGTATCCAGCTGCAAGGTTCAGTACCTGTGCCTCAATGTCTCTTCCCCCTTCTGAAAGCACAGCAAGGAGATTCACGCACGCTGCCATCACCCACAGCAAGTTCATGTCCTATGCACTGCTTCTTCTGAGAACTTACCAAAAGAATGGGAAAAAAAATTCTCTGAACACTCTGGAAACTAAGGCCACCTCTCCAAGTTCTTTGGTTTTTAAAAATACATACCAAGAAAAACCCACATTACACAAATCTAAGCAAGCTCCAAGTTAATAGGATCTTTCACTGCCCTCTGCTGTTACCAGTCATTTAGCTTCCAATTTACTCTTTAATAATGCCGGGCTGGGGCTCAGGGCTGGCAGCATCCCAGCCCCTTCCTCAGGCGGCTTGGAGCCGCAGCTTGCAAATATGCTGAAGTTTAATGCAATCTGTCTTCTTTGGTAATCACATTCCGCCCGCACTGCATGCAATAAAGATGTATTGGTAAATGCATTTGCTAAAGATATACTCCACCAAAAAGGCTGTGAGCCTGATTTACAGGAGGTAAGGAGGAAGCGTCAGGTAGCAGAGGCTGGCAGCGGATGCACCAGCACTGCACACAGCAACAGAGGGCACAGACTGTGCAGCAGCAAAGGCACTGCTTCACTTTAGAGCTAAGAAAGAAAAAGAAACCACATGTTTTGGGAGCTGGGGACTTTAAAGATATCAGAGAAAAGCCCTTTCCCTGGCAGCTTTAACCTTGCTGATTTGCAGACATACAAAGACCTTCTTTGTAAACAGGAAGGAAAAAAATTCCACCAGGAGTAGCAACAACATTTGGTCTAATATATCCTGACAATTTTCCCATCTCCTTCTGTTGGGCTTCTTCTGGGAGCCGGCTGGCAGCTTGTTTCATGTTATACTTAAATCAGGCATACAGCACAATGCTAATGCAACAGAGAAAGACTGCTTCTATGAAATCTCCACCTCCCCCCACCCTCCGCTTTCACATTAATAATCCCAAGAGAAGAGTCTCAGTTTTCTGCTCCCAGAAGGCTCCATCCCTTCCCCAAACCCACCCTACTATAGTCCCGAGACCCGTTAGAGATCTTATTTTATAACCAAAAAAAGAAGTCTGCCCTCGAGGGACATCTGACCCACTGAATTCTCACGTGAGGAACAACATCCTTTACACTCCAGACATCACTTTATGTCTTATCACACATTTCCCAAGACCACATCCTAGTTGTGATATCCAAATGCTTCCTTTTTCCTTTCTCCTTCACCTGCTTTCAAAGTCACAGATTCTTCCAAGGTGCTCAGCACTCACTGTCCCAAGGAACAACAGAAGCTAGGAGTGCTCTACATCTCTGGAGGCAGAGCCATAACAGCTTGTTGAACCTCTGCACGACACAAACACCTTTTAGAGGCATGCAGATCCCTCAAGAGTTAAGTAGCTTTGCTACTTAACAAGTGCAGCCACAAAAAAAAAAGCAAGACTGATAATTGTGAGGTCCCATAATGGAAGCAGAAATGCCCAAAATGTCGCTAATATTGGCAAATAGATGTAACTACCATTTGCAGAACACAGCATCCAAGAAAGTGAAACGTGGGATGACTGATTTTGAAGCTGAGGAGTATCCACACTACTGCTCTGGGGGCAGTTCAGCACCATAGGGGCACTGGTGGGAAGGAAGCTGGGACATACCACAGTGAGACTGGGCAGCACTGGATCAATGCAAATAGACAAAAGTACATCCTGAGGAAAACTTGCCTCCTATAAACACCCCATCTTACCTGGGAGATACCACAGATCCCAGAGATATTTCCCAGAAGAAAACACTACGCAGAACAGTCAGCAAAGCCAGCAAGTATAACAGGGAAGCTTTTATTACCTTCTGAGCCGCACTAACGCAGCGCTGATACTCCTTAGCCAGCTCTGAGCATTTGAGCACTTCACGTTGGTTTTCTTGATAGCACTTCAGAATTTCAGACTGCAGACTTGCACAGACAGGATCAATGTTCCTCCTCCTGTGGGCAAAACGAGAACAGAAAGATGTGCAAAGGGGAGTTTTCAGCCACTGACTACCACTTGACTAGTGGCACACACTAATCTTGTGTTGGAGTCACTTAGCCCTAAAAGATAAAGAAACCAGTAGGAGCAGCAATCACCAAAGTGGGTTAAGTGATGTCTTCCAGCTGAAAAATCCAGAGTACTAAGCAGAAAGATGGAATGTATTCTTACTAGGTCAGTATGGGAGGTTTTTAGTTTTACCCATAGATAAAATACCGTGTCTCCTCCACAGTTAAGAAGAATCAATTCCAAGAGGTTCAATGATTTCTCCAAGTCACACTGGAAATCTTTGATAAAACTCAGGAATTCTGTCTGGGCCAGCACCAGATCTATAACAGGCTGACAAGGAACTGAATGGGCTCATCGAATGAGCTACCTCTACCTACTGAATTCTCATCTATTTAAACATTAAAAGTATATATATCCAGCACGGTTGTGAGTACTGTAATTCTCCTAGTAACTAAACAAGACAGAAAAGGGAATAATATCAAGACCAGGTATCTGCTTCTTTGTATTTCTGAAGCAATTAGTACTCACATCCCACAAGCAGCACTGACAGCTACTCAAGAACAATTACAGATGATGCTCTCAGACTATCATGTGCATGGGTACATATGGCACATCTTCAGCAACTGTACCAATAAAAGGAAGGTCATTGTAAAATAATCCGAGCCACAATGGCACAAGCACAGTAACAGCAGTGTCATCAGCTGCACAGACAGGCAGGCACAAATTGCAGGAATTTGCAGCACAATTGCCACAGTACATTTCAGCAGAGAACATGTGCTGAGGAGTAGCAGCACTAAGACACTGCCTTCTAAATCATAAATCCACTTAATTCCTTGCATTCTCTGCCTCAGCGTGCTTAAAGAGATCTGTGCTAAAAGATCAAATGCACTTCTTCTTTCCAAAGCACCTGATGTTATGGGGAGGCACAAATGCTATGCTGTGCTACATTCATTTCCACAGTAACAACACTCACTCGTTCAAGCAATGGGGTTTCCCAACCAGGTACAAAGAAAATGTGACCTATTCCTGGACAGCTTTCATTCTCTCTCAGGTGAGAGATTTCTAAGAAATGTGACATCTTGAAGCCAGATCATCCGAAAGCGTTTTGGAGACCACAAATAGGAATTTCCAAATCACGTTCATTTTGGTAAGGCACTCAGGAAGGCAAGTAGAAAGGACAAAAGAAAATCAGCAACACCATTGCTTCCTCAAAATAGTTTGGTTGAGACATACTCCAAACAATACCTCTGCCCTCAGTCGTACTCTGCAACATACGTGAGCAGGCAGTGGAACAACTGCCCAGCGATGTGGTTCACATCCCATTCCTGCAGGCTTTCGGGGCAAGGCTGGATCAGGCCCCGGGCAACCTGATCCAGCTGTGCGTGTCCCTGTTCATTGCAGGGGACATGGACTACATGGCCTTTGAAGGTCCCTTCCAACTCCAAGGATCCTATTGATTCTAGCAACAATGTGACAGCCACGCTCAGAAACACTTGGATCAGAAAGCCACCAAAATACAACACAAACTTCTTTCCCCTGTCTTCTCTAACCCTATAGCTTTTAGAAGAAACTTGTTTTGTACGCAGTCCCCAGAGGTGAGCATGCATAAGTAATTTCTGTGTTCCATAGCAAATTACCTTTAAAGCCTCTGAAAAATCCATATTCCAAAAAAAAAATCTTCAGATTTTGGAAAAGAAACCAGAGAGAGCATCAAAAACTCATAATATCGGCATTTTGCTTTGTCACTAACTTTAATATCACTCTAATCAAATCAGTGAGACTGTAGAAACGATACCAAACAATACCAGGTCAGGAAATACCATCAAATCCCTCAATTCATTGAAGAAGTTAAGACTTTTAAAATTAGGTTTTTCCAACTCAGCCATGTTAAACTGAAGGGCATTTTGTAATTTTCAGGCAGAGGGCTGGGGGAGGGAAAAGGCAGAACGTGTCACAGCGTGGTCTGAATTCACTGGAACCAAACTACACGACACAAGCACAATGGAGAAGCTCCAGCTATGCATCAGTGGTACCACCTTCTCAAAAGAGATTTAGAGAATCTAGTCAACATAGCACAAAATCAGCTGACGTAATTATCAACACAGATCCCACAAATCCATTTATGAGCGCATCCACAAATGAACTGGAAATTCAACAAAACCAGCTAAATCCTACAGAGGATGACATCTCACTTTGGAGCAGGAAGGCAGTGCTGCTCAGAGGAGCGTCCCTGCAGCCCACGGCGTGGTGTGACCTGTGAAATGACAGGAAACGTGAGCCCAGCACAAGGGAGCACATCCTGCACGCTGCAGGAACCCAAGTCCAACGGAGCACACCTTGGCTGAGGGCAGCGGTACACTGAATTCCAAAGGAGGGAGAGCTTTGTCAGCTACACCCCTTCAACCTCAGCCCAGCACAAGGCTATAGGCAGTACCCAACCTTCAGGAAAAAATCGTCTTCAGGACACTGCTCTTGGTAAATGCTTTGCTGCTGGAGGGGAATGCTTTACACACTGAAGGGGAAAGAACATGGTGGAGAAGGAATGAGGTCTGAATGCAGAAAGAGCAGAAGAACAGTAAGCTTTGACCTTTCTTCTAAAATGGGTCACAGTTTTAAGCATAATATGCTACCACCAAGAAAGGTAGGCAATTAGCCTCTGTCTAAAATAAAACGCACTGCAATTGCTACTGCTATTACGAAAACAGATGCAGGAGGCTCATTTACAGCAGCTAAAAAAAAGAGGGGGAAAGAAAAAGGTCTGAACAGGAAGGCTAGGAAAACACCCACAGACAAGGAACTAGAGGAGTTGAGCTCTGACAACACCCCAGATATAAATGCAGGGCATACGAAATATGAAAGATTAAAACAATAATACACAAGCAAGGAAGAGGAAAGGAGAAAAGATTACAAGTGGGGGAAAAAAGGATTAATCTAGAAATAAAACTCATTAGCAGTGCCTCCCCAGCCACAGTGGAGAAAATCCTCAGCTGCTCTGCTGTGCAATGGGACAGAAGGCTACATACGCACAAAAGCCACAATTTCAGATTTTCTTCTCCCTCTCCCACTGAAGGATCTAAAATCAGGTCTTTGGCTGGAAAAGAAGGGATAGGTTTTCTTAAAATGAAACAAAGGGCATCCTTCTCCCTGCCATCCCTTGAGGTAAGACGGAACGAATGTGATCTTGCTGCATTTTGACACAGCGAGAGTTACCAAATCCTCTCTATCACTGCGTATTCCCTTTACTTTATTTAACAAATGAAATCTCATCAACTTATCCTTCTTCTATTATCACTGCTGACATCAATCTGATAATATTGGCTTGGTGTGGAATCGTGCTATTATATGTCCTCTTTATATTTAATTTAAGAGAAACGTCTGCAGTGGGGTGAATATGTGAAGCAAGCTTTTTATTACTGGCAGCAGTAAGGACGCTGGGAGTGAATTAGACATTCATCTTAGTCAGGGCCAATCTAGTGGCTCAGAAGAGGTTTTCTTCTTAACCCTCTCCTAACTGTTCAACAGCAGCAGGTAACGGCTGCTCCAGTCAATAAGTGCATTCATTTGTCTTGGCAAATTCACTTCTATGTGGATATAAACCCCATGAAGAAGTGCTGAGCATCTCGGAGGTTAAAGCAAGGTTCTTCCAGAATTTCCATCATAAGTGCCACAGTAGTGAGTAGAGTGCTGGTCTAAATGTCCATCAATTAATCAAGGAGCCACACGGCTCTCAAAGACAAACACACAAACTTATTTCAAGAACCAATTTAAGGCAGTATCATCAGTACACAGATCCCATAGGCAGGCTTCAAACATAGCACAATGGCTACCAGCTCGTTGCTGCTGACAGCTTTCCCTTTTGGAAGGAGAATTATGGGCTTGGTATTGCAAAGCGAGGGAAAGCTGGAAGATGTGTATGCATTTGCTACTATTTCCACCCTGATGAAAAAAAATCAGACTAGCCAAGAAGAGATAGAACTTGAAAGCTTTAGGACTTGACAGCTCCTTAAACTAGTCCAAAATCCACAGTGAGCACCACGCCATCACTTGGCTTTACTGGGTAGAACAGCAATCCCAGATGGAATTAGAGGCAAGATTCTCTTTTTACCTTTTACTCTGGGAAACCATTCAAGCTGAAAAAAAACCACTTAGGACAGAGACTGAAGGTATCTAAACCTAGACATTTAGATACTTCTACTCAAAGCGAAAAATCAAAGATACCCAAGGTTTCTTGTACAAACCAACTTCAGAATAGCTTGCTCCAGTACAGAAGCCACCTAAATGGTGCAGCAAACTCAAATTTCCTGTGGGCTGCAGAACCCAATAACCAGATTAACTACTTTCTGCTGCACTACTCGACTGCAACCAGTGTCAGAGCTAACTTGAGCAAACCACATTAATCACCACCATAACTACAGCGCAGCCAGCCTCAGAGGTCAGCAATGAGGTGCACGGGCTGCACTGAGAGCAAAGCCCAGGGCACGCAGCAGCAGTTTCTGTGTCGGAAAGGAATCAGAGATGTGTCAAATAGTTGGTTAGCATGGTTGTATATCCAGGGCACACCAGATGTATTTCAGACTAAGCTCAGCGATGTTTGGTCACATGAAAGTGGTGTGCTGCACTGTACGTATACAAAACTGCTAAGTGGTTAACTGACCTGTAAAACTGCACGCTCCCTTGGGTAGCAGTTGGCTCTGATGGTTCCTCTTTAACATGTCAGGAAAAAAATTCCAGACAGATGCAATACACAGCATACAGAAAGGTTCCATCCTCTCTCATTACTGCATCCTTGACATTTACAGCAGAAAATTAAACACAATTGAAGCATTTCATTCACATATAACAAACTCATCAGCACAGAACAAACAGCCAAGGAAGCCAACTTCCATTGCAGGATGCTGTGCTATCACAGAGCAAAAGCTACTGCCTATGGGATTCCCTGACCCTTCAT